CATACGGTCCTCGAGTTGCATTATAGTGCCTGGAGGTTTAATCGGTACCGTTTGAAAACGCCCTCGAGAAACAGGCCGCACCATAACTAATAACCCAAGGCAAAGTCTGCTCTCGCTCAAAATCCCATAGTACCGAAAGGAGCCGTGAAGCGCCGTAAGTACGGCCACAGTAAGATCAGCTTTGACAGTTTCCACGCACGCACGTGAGTAACGTTAAAAAGTCTGGTTACCCAGGGCCCTCTCACGAGGTCCAAAAGGTTCTCTTAGCGCCATCGAAAAGCCCTAAGCTCGAGTCCCATAAAAAAAGAAAAGTCCCACAAAGGATACCGGCATGCCATTAGGAGGTCCGAGGTAAACGAATCTGTGATCCCCGAGTCCTGTCGCGGAAGCTCAGTACGAACTCGCAGCATTCGTCACGATATCGCGCATGCTCAGCGACCGCGTGACAACGACCACGTGTACACCGAGTCTTCCCGATTGGTCGAATCAGTTTCCTGATACGACGTCGAAACGCCAAGGACGCACGGAATTCAGATTCGCTAATCTCAGTCGTGAGAGTATGTCACGTCTGGGTTACAAACAAATGATTCCTCGGACGGCGCGAATACCCGGGCGTTTCCGCTGGTTCGTGTCGTTCGACGTGTCAGCCAAAGGAAAACACAGTTGAGCGCGTTGGCGCGAGCACGTGGCAGGATCCTCAGGAGAAGGAGATGAATTGGCGAGGTCTCAGGATGCGTGTGGGATGGACGTTACTCCGTTGTTCAGCCAAGACGAGCACAGGAAGGTACACGAAGACGCCAGGAGTCAATTATTCGTTCCGTCATCCAATTATCGACGAGTATAGAGCTAGTGCATATCCTAAAGAAAGAAAGAGAGAGAGAGAGAGAGAGAGAGTGAACGGGCAAGAGACATTACTCACTGGCCGTTAAGCTAGCCGCTGCGCTAAGTTGATGCCTGACCGCGTTGGGGGTCGTGGAGGACTGTCTCCTGGAGATCGTCCTGACGCTACCGTACGGTGAGCTCAGAGCTTCTCTGGTGGATGGCGCGTAACCCCAGGCAGCGGTATCGTTCCCGCTGACGCTAACGGTGCCGGCCGTGGGCTGTTGGGAAGAGTAGGGTGGACTGTACCCACGAAAAGTAGGTCTGTCGCCAAACGGCTGGGAGAACGCCGGTAGACTTTGGTTGATTCCGTTTGCCCCGGACTTATTGCTACCGTAGTTCTCCGATATGGAAGGAAGAGACGTGCTGAGTCCTGAAACTAAATGAAAATATATTGAACACGTTGCTTGTGTATTATCGGTAAATAACTTTTATATAATATTAATAAACAAGACTTTTTACCTTCGGTCGACCAGAGCTGCTGGGAGGATGCTGAGAGCTCAGGAGGGCTGCTGGTCATGTAGGGAAGACCGTATCCGGTACCAGCGCCAGAACTACCGGTTATGGCACCCATGCCACTCATGGTGCGATAGAGGGAGGGACTGCAATGTGATAATAGAATTTGTCATGAATATTCAATGTATAAATGATCATTGGAATTGATATTGAGACGGTAGATCTAATTACGCTCAGCTCGCAGATGCAAAACCGCCCAGGCCCATGGGATTACTTGGAATACCGACATCAATTACAGAGTCTGATCGATAAGTCAAAATTGCAATGGCGCAAGCTACGGGACAAAGTGTCCCTGTGAAATAACTCAAAACACCCATAAAGAGGAATTTTGCAAAATTTTACCTGAATATTAAAATCGAAAAATGTTGAAAAAAAAAACATATTTCAACTCCCACAAAGAATCACAAGAATGTCTGTAAAGTCATTCCTTATCTGCGCCACATCTGCGGATGTCAAAGGCAATGCTAAAGTTCTATATTGTGACACGTGTTAGGTCAAAAACGGAAGTAAGCCTCGCGGGAGACCGGAATTACGCAAGTTGCTTCTCGAATGCGGGCGCGTGCCCCAAGATTGCCTCCCAAGTAGTCGAACCGTCCAGTAAACACAATTTCTCCATTACCATTAGCATTTGAGACCGTAGAGCCCCTGTGGCCGCTACACCCGGAGCTACCTGAAAGCCGTCGCCGTAATGTCTACGCTATGCGAGAAGGTGGCACAAGTCCAGAGGACTGCACGTTGACCGCTCTTATTTTAAAAAGCTCTTTGGAGTCTTATCTATTTTTGAATTTCGAGTCTCGAGAGTGACCGGGATTCCTCGTAGAGCACGCGACCTCCCCAAGAGTACCGGGAAGAGAGTAGTAATGGCAGTGTAACGGCGGACCTAGACGAGATTTAAGGACGACTATTGATAAATGCCAAGAGAAATGGTAGAGAAGTGAATTCTTATCGGAAAACTTTGTAAGGTGCATATATACGTATATACGTACCCTTGAAGTGCACAGAGTGCAATAAAGAAAGAAAAAAACACATTCGTGGCACCGAGATAAACCAGACACGAAGAAACGTTCGTTTGGGTGTCAATACTGATCCGACCTTGAATGCCTCTGCGGTAGCTTGGCACGTTCCATTGTATTGAAACGTGCTCAAAGTCTTCTCCACGAGTCATCTCGATGATTCGTAAGTGGCCTTTAAAGAATACTCGTCCCTCGGCACTTAAAAACAATTGGCAAAAACAAGGTAGAGCTCGCACTTAAATCGTTTATCAGCCCTGAACAGATATGACTGTAAGGAGAGTTAAAAAAAAAAAGGAAAATTTTACTCACTGGAGATTTTTCAAATTCTACAAGGATTCCAAGTGTCAGCAGGTAGTTAGAGGAGACTAGGATTTCTATTTTTGACGAGAATTCCTCAATGACTAATACCAGCCTTCAAAAGATGCCTACCCAAGTCGATTGTCGCAAAGAGTCATGATAAATCGTTCGAAGCACTTTTTCACTCGTCTAATATGACTTTACGCATTGGGACAGGTCGTACGGTTTATAAATGCTGACAAAACATAAAAGGAATTGACTGGATGATTAAACAGTGTAATTAAATGTAACTCGATGACGCTTCCGTGATTTGGCATTATGATTCGAGGAAGAGCACGTGGTGTCGAGATGCATGAATCATGGTGTCGAATTGCATTTCTTTCTAGGTCTGATTTTTCGTTAGCTCGTCAGTATTGTGTTCTCGGCTATATATATATATATATATATATGCGGAACGTCATGTTGAGACTAGCGGTTCTTCTTGTATCGGATGTGTATCTTGTAACCGTTAGCTCGTCAGTATTGTGTTCTCGGCTATGGCATTATGATTCGAGGAAGAGCACGTGGTGTCGAGATGCATGAATCATGGTGTCGAATTGCATTTCTTTCTAGGTCTGATTTTTCGTTAGCTCGTCAGTATTGTGTTCTCGGCTATATATATATATATATATATATGCGGAACGTCATGTTGAGACTAGCGGTTCTTCTTGTATCGGATGTGTATCTTGTAACCTATTGGGAAAGGAACTGGGTTCACGAGATGTAGAATAGGAGGAAGAACGAGTGGCTAATGCAAATGTCAATTCTTACGGGAGAGACGAGCCGAGCATGTTGGACTCGTCACTCCGTTAGAATGAATTCTCGTACCTTTTGCACATGAGAAGGAAGCGGAAAGGATGCAGTCGAGGCACGCGTTTAGAGAGTTTCCGTTCTTTGTACAAAGTGCACCTTGTTCCTAAGGTTCCATTGGCGTAACCGCACGGCAAAGACTTAATGAGTCTTCCTTAACTAATGACAGAACGTCGCATCCGGGCTCGTCAAGCTTTTCTAGCTTCGTTCGATCGTACGGAGAAATCTTACGAATTTTCCAACATGGCCGCCGTCGCGCATGCGCAGCTCGGTATTCCACGTCGGGACGCAGTAACGGAGACAGATTCTATTAGCGAGAATCGAAGGAGCCTACACTTTCTACGTACGTGCCTTCACCTCGGGCACTCGTATGAGTTTACATACGAGTGGGCCTTGTGTAACTTATACAATAACGACGAGCTTAATAATGGATCTCGTGTTGCTTCTAAGAATCATTGCCACTCTCTCAATGACCGCCATACTATAATCAACCCTTCTGGCCCTGTGCGCATGCGCGGCCGCGCTACCGAGTCGTGAATCAAATTCAATAAATAAAAAGTCTCATTAGCACAATGGACCGCGTAATCAATGTGAATAGTGAGATCAAAATGTTGAAAATAATATTTAACGAGACTATTGATTGTTTCGAAAGAAACAAAAAAAAAAGAATCTTTACGTAAGCAAATTATCAAACGCGTAAATCCGTGTCATCCATCTTGGTTATGAATTCCCAGGAATTTCGCCTAACCAGAGGTTCTTCACTGGGTAAGAGTGCAGAATCCGCGAAATGCAATATGACAGTCTTGGCGGAGCCGAGGTTATAGGCCCCGGGACAAACTGACTATCTGAATCCTCGAGAGCTGATAAAATGATTCTCACGTTATATTCACTTGCGAGAGGAACGAACGAATTCATGCGGACGCGATAGTCAGACATGGAGGGTAAAGAATTTTTCAGTTCTCGATTGATATCGTATAAAAATGACAAACGCTACACGAAATGGTTGTGGATATAAAACACGTCTTTTTTTAAGGTTAGGAAACACTGGTAAATCTGCACTAGAAAGTATAACGATAACCTATGCAAGTTTTTGCTCCTACGCCTATCTGAATATATTTTTTAAGTCTACGACTTTACCTACAAATATTTTCCGTACAATAATGTTCCTGCCTGCTTCTACCTCAGGTTCGGCAGTTCCTGATAATCCTGAGGAACGGTAGATATCAGCTATATGGTGGAGACAGATAAAGTAGGGCACTATTTCATATTTACTTAGTCACATCGTGTCTCACAAAGATACCACTGATCTTCTAACGCGTTAAGGGTACAAGGAGGTGGTGAAACGGCAGGGTGTTTCTTTCACTCAATAGATATAAGTATACACGGAAATAAACTTTCGAGAAAAAAAAAAACCAAACAAATATTTGTCCCTAGGTATATCCACCAAGTTTCCAGTTAAACGTTCATAGATTAAGGGTACCGAAAGTTTGTTCGAAGCTTTTGCTATCTGGACACAAAAAAAAAGAGACTGATTCTTGGATCGGTATCCAATAGGAAATAAGAGCAGCGAATAGTCTCTTTTTGATAAGAAAAAAAGAAAAAAAAAAAAAACGGAATCACAAAAGTGAAGCATATCTACAATACTTGCATCTATGGTCTTACGGATAAAGAATTTTCCTGAAATGAAGGCAGAAGAAAAAAATGGCAAAGAAATAAACACAGTCGACAAAGCAGACGATACGCAAGGCGCTTTCAACGGAGGACCCGATAAGTTAAAGAATCTAATTATTTCTTTTATTTCCCAAACAACCAGCTTGTTTGCTACGTCTCAGATTAGAATAGTTCGATCGTGTTCGAGGATCGGGGTGCGCAGCAGAAGGGAAACTGAGTTACATTACGAACAAATACAATTACGTACATTGTTTTCCAACTGATTGACAGACAAGTTTCCATTTCAAGAAAATCGCAATGATAACGCTACAATACTGAGAGAATATAAAAATACATCGACCAGTCTCAAGCACGGGTGGCTCCAGTAGCGAAATAACGAAAGAGCCATAATCTAGCAAAAGAAAGAAAAAAAAAGATCCACGCAAAAAGAAAGTAATATAAACAAATTCATCTGAATAAATGACAGAATAAGAAAAAATCAACTTTCGATTAACTTCGTCATATGATAAACCAACAAGATAAATATATTATCTGTCAAAGTAATACATCAAAACTCACTGCATTCCGACGACCGAAGATACCGGACAAATGACAGTCTTCACTGGTGAGAATTCCGTGCTTAAGTTCACAGTTTCCCTTTCGAGAAGTTCTCCTCTTCCTTGGCGCTTCTGGTATATCGTCGTAGGTAACGAGAGCGAACGATAAGAAATTTAAAACGCGTAGGAGTTTCAAAGGGATAGAGTAGAGAGAGAGAGAGAGAGAGTGAGAAAGAAGGAAGAAAACACAAGAGCGCCTACCAAGAGAAGAAGGGAAAACGAGAGTGGGAGATAATAATAAACGTTCAATGTGTACAGGTCCTCCCGTATCTGTCACCGAACAGACAAGAACTGACTCGAATCAGCAGAGTGCATGAAACCAGCGCCGGAATGGCGCGGCGGCGGCGGCGGCAGACGTGCTGGGCCCTCGAAGGTGGCCAGCCAGGGTTTATCCCTCCCTCCCTCGTATCCGAGCCAAACCGTCGAACGTACGAACGAGTCTCCTAACCACCTCCATGTCACCTCCAGCTCTCCCACTTTCTTGCTCCGAAGCCTTATACTAGGCTCCTTTACACGGGGACCCATTTTACCACTGAAACTCTCAACGACCACCCGGGCGACTCGACTTTACGGCTGGGCCGGCCACTTCTTGCAGACCCAACAGTGTAGATGTGGATACTGATTCATTGACCTAGACATCGCTTTTTTTTTCATCTTAAAACCTATTTTTTTCAGCCACTCTAAATATTCCGAGAATAAACGTAAGGGAATATTTTATAGATTGAGACTGACGCAACGAGACTATTTCTTTCATTTGTACAACGAAGAGGGAAATTTATACAGATTCTTTTTCTACTTTTTTTAAATACTGCTTTGTACAGTACAATTTTCATTGGCGTAGCATGGTGGTATTTTAAAAAGGCAGATTCATTGTGATAATGCCCTAGGGACTTTTGCACTGGGGATCAATGACCGTTGAGGTTAGTAATGATTATGAGTGTCTGAAGCAATTAATGTCGCCAAGTGCCTTTGAGGTGAAGCAACCAATTATGGATTCTCTGTTGTACTTCTGCGTTTGACTCTGATGATTATGAGGAATCGAGGGGAACTTTTTTTTCCCGTCTCTCGCTCGGCCGAACAACTGCAGGAGCTCATCGACCCTGTTGTTTCGTTTCGTCTTTGTAAACAAAAATAAGAAATAATAATAAACAGCCAAAAGTCTCCGAGTGCACGTGCCGCGTATATATATATATATATATTGCGCAAGCATTTATTCCACGTGGCCATGAATATCTATATAGATATATAATATGGATAATATAAAAAAAATACAACCTCTGTCATCAAACTACGTAAATTCACTTTGCAATAATGAAACATACCAAAGACAGTCTATAGAAATTTTTCACATTTTTCTTCAAATGACAATCGTAACGAATCATCCTTGTATAATAAAAAAAAAAATTCAGACTAAATTCAAATTCTTTAGGGATTTTTCAAACAATCGGACCAATTGAAATAGACTGTACTGTATTTGAGTTCTATGGTAAAACTACCCTGGTGCAATATTCCTGAATCACCCTATATAGTCTGTATACATTTGGTACGACTGACGATTGAACCTTGATTTATTTAGACCATTAAAAAAATAAGAGGCTACTAGGCAAATTAAGAATAAATAAATGCTCAAGCATTGAAAATGAGGGCAATTCTGTCGATATAGTGACAGTTGCGCAATGGCTGGAATTGTGACACGTTAAAGTTGGTATTAAAGCGTCACTTTTTTTTTCTCCTCGTTCATTAATATTTGCCTTGAACAAATGGATTGCGACTCGTTTATGATTATTATGGTTATCGGCACAGTAGTACATCGGATAAACGTCCGTGGATATACGATAAGAATTATAAGGCTGTCTAATAGTTCTTTTTTCTCTCTCAGGGTATCCCCGTGGGCATAATTTTATCGACTGGGGGATGACGGGTATTTTGTTTCCACTTTTTTCTTTCCTTTCCATGGACTCTACGAACTTGCGGAGTTTGCCTAATTTTGATGGGCGGCGCGCGCGCGCGCGCGCGCTACCCATGGGAATCAACAAACACGAAACACTGTCCTCTTTCACAAAATGTTAGTATAGGTCTTCCAAGTGGGCATCATTTCCATCATCGGTTTGGTTTAGTGTATCGCCTAGACACACAGGACCTGGTCCTTAAGCTTATAAGCAAATATTTTTGCGCAGCAACGACGTGACGTGTTCCTTTTCGCTATTGTGCGTGTGTCGGCACAGTATTGCGAGCTTTTGGCCATTTTGAAAAAAAAAAAATAATCCGTAATAAAACGAAAGAAAGACACACGCCGAATCGCGACGGACAGACTAATGTTAAAACAAAAAAATAAGCAACCCTCAAAACAAAATATAAAAATAAACCAAAATTTGGACCACCCTGAAGTAAATAAAAAAAAACAAAAATTTTCGAAAAAAATAAAAAATAGGACACAGTCCACTTAAAAGTTTTGGTCAATTATGAAAAAAAAAAGTGCACGTGTACGTCGCGACATAAATAAAAAATTCCCAAATTCTTTGACTTACAGGTACAGGGATGCAGTGGGTAAATACCTAATTCGTAATCAACCCGTCACGTAATCAGAGCCACACCGCAGATCAAGTACACGATAAGAACACCTCACTGTTGAGAAACCGTTGCCGTGACCCTAGCCAAAGGTCGAAGGATACACCCCCGTGACCCCCCCACAGAAATCCACCGTACGATACAGTCCACTAACCTGGAGAGTGGTCCGGTAGGCGAATAGGGTGTAGAAGTAGCCTGCTCGTGATCCTGATGATGATGCGGCGTCCCACCAGGATGATGATTGTAAATACTCTCCATGTACAACTGATCGGAGACCCTGTCGGCGTCCTGAAGATTGTGATTGGTCTGAACCGACGGAGGAGGTTGCATCGCCGTGAGATGAGTGAAGCTCTGAAGTCTTCCCTGATCGGTAGGACTGTACCCGCCGTCATTTTGTCCAGGGTGCCTATGGGGCGATGACATGTCCTGATCATCGTGAGGACTCCTACTGCTACCTGGTGAACTGCCAGTGCGAACCGGTGGCGAGACCCCACCGGCCGAGGCAGAGCCACCACCGGCGCGAATCTGGTGCTGAAGATACGGATCCTCCGGGAGTACGTCCTCCAGGTGATGATGAGGATTGCCCCCACTACCGTTCCCAGACTGGGTACCGGCTCCGCCGCTGCCCGTCAGATTCGGAAAGAGCACAGCTCCCAGGGTGAAGTCACCTCGTGCGCCCCTCATAGCAGCCGTTATACTGTTCACGCGTTCCACGTCCTCGTCCGTCTCCTGGTGATGGTGGTGATGATGATGGTGCTCCTCCAGGTGACGATGAACACTCAGAGTATGAGGATCCGACAGGTGGTGCTGCTGATGATCCGTCGGGGAGAGCGTCTCTGTTCCGTACCGATGCATCGTCGAGTGAGGCATGTGACTGGTGCTACGGTTTCCCTCTGGCGGGACAGAGGCCTCCGTCGGGTGGCGGCTATCCCCTCCTTCGGGAACCGGGACCTCTCCCGCCCCAAGCTGACCGTACTGAGCCTGCTGATGGTGATGCTGATGATCGTGATGATGATGGTGGTGGGAGTGATGTTGATGTCGCTGATCTTCCCGAAGATCACTTTCAGTGTATTGGCAAGATTCTTCAGAAACGTAGGTCCTTAAAAGAATAAAGATTTGAGAAAAAATCAAAATTTTTTTCTTACCCCTTAAATTCAACGCTACTTTTCTATATATATGAAACTTTTTTTTCAAGGTCAGGGGGTTATATGATTTTATAAAATTCACCGTTCATCACGAATGAACTTGCAGTGTCATATTTTACAAGCACGAAAAGCCTATACCTCTCATGAATTATGTGACCGGAATGGTATCCGAGCTGATGAAGAGTATAGGTGGCACTGGCGTCCTCCTCGTGCTCAGTCCTAACGGGAATTGCCACGGTCTCAGCTCCGGTCGACTCCACCAGGGCGCCATTTTCCATTTCCGGTTGACCCGCCTCCAGCACGCCCACGCCATTCCCGCCTTCATCCGCGCCGGCGTAGTTCAACTGCTGTTGTTGATGTTGCTGTCTCTCCTCAACTCCCTGATCCTGGTCCCTCTCGACTTTGATCGTTCTCCTAGTGACATCCAAGCCCGTAGCGTCGTCCCTGCACTCGGCCAGAACCTGGGACGTTGGTTCGGGCGAATTCTCAACGTACTCCAGTACTAAAAAAAAGAAATATTACACGTTAGGACCCGACGATAAATTACATCGTCCCAATCCGATCGATTTCCACATCGAGATCAACTTGGAGGACAATATTGTTGTCTGTCTTGATTCTCCTAACCTACAAAATTCTTATACACTAAATTTCATTAAATTCATTTAATTTAGCCATTAATGGCTACCCCCTTGAGAGCTGTTGCTAGCCAGTACGTTACGAAAATAGCCACAGGCCCTTATCTCCTACTGGTGGCGCATACGCACGCAGATGGACTCTGCCGGCACACACAATGTACCCGTGGGACCAGAAGTAAGAGAGGCGAGGAGATGATTGTCCGAGTGCGTGACGAAGAAAGGAGAGAAAATAAGTGAAAAGAAAAAAAAAGAAAGTATACACTGAGAATCGGTTCGCAAGTTGCTCCCCTCGGCAAGATAAAAATATTATTTATAATCATCGAGTGTCGTGGGTCAACTGTCATCAAGACCACTGATTATCGGATTTCAAGTTTATTCAAGATTTTTCTATTTAAACGGTTAGTTCGTTTTTATTCAAAAAAAAAATTTTTTAATATCACAATTGTATCACGTAGTAGATCGAGTACCACCGAAGTCAATAAACTTTCTCAAACCCATGAACCACTGACTGGTCGACTTACGATGACTGATCGGTTCCAAGCTTGAATCGTCATTTTACAATTGCTGGAAATGATTATTTGATTTCAATAAAAATATAACGTTAAATGTATAATAAATGATTTATTATCGATTTCCTGACTTGGTTACCTTTTTTTTTCGGTATACATGTCGATAGAATATTATTTATAATGAAAGTAATTGTTCGCGTGCCATTGACAAAATGTTAGGCACGTTGTTAAGAAACGATAGTGACAATGTATTTATCAAGGATTTAACATTCAGCTGACCTTATTGACGTTACCTAATCGAATTGGAGAGGTCAGGCTCATTAAATTATCAGTACCCCCCTCTCTACGGTATAATTGTGAATTCAATAAAAAAACATATTTTTTTAATAACTTCCAGACAACCTCAACTCTCTTCTTCGATCTTGTCACACAATTCGTACATAAAACGTTTCTACGTCGATTCCTTACGTTCGTCTCTGTTCGCGCACGCGCAAACCCAAACAATTGTGCAGTTCCGTTGAAATAGATTATTCCTTATCACTGAGCATACGCATAATTGTTGTCCGATGCTGCCGAGTCGATGCCAACAATAAGCCACGACCCCGATTAATCATACGATTAAAAGAAATTGCTGACAATTAGCAAGGCGTCTGTACGGCTCTAAGAAAAATCACAAGCAGGTACTCTGTACTGTATCGTTAATAAAAAATCGTGCGTTATCATTATTGTATATCATACAATAATTACTTTAAATAAAAATTCACTCCGCCGAATAATACCACAATAGATCGCAACAGCCGCATCGATTGTAACCAACTGTCAAAAGTGCGTTTGAATTTTCTACGTAATTCAAATCAGTAACGATGTAAAGCTTGCTACTACGTAAATCAGTACGATGCACAGTGAAGATAATAAAAAAGGAAGAAGACTCGATATAAATTTGTAAAAACGAAGTAAATAAATTATAAAATCATTTATAAAAAGGAATTGTCATTTAATCTTTTACTCAGTCAATATAATGGTACTTGTCGTGATTAACGTAGTACGGTTTCGTAGACAGCCCGGGCGCGTCGGTCTAGCTCGATTTTAAATTAGGTTAGGTATAGCCGACGTAAGTTGCTGTCTAGACATAATAGTAGGGAGTATTTATTTGTAAAGTACGGGGTAAAGGTTCTTGATGTCCGAATAAATCATCGATTAAAGTCCACGAGAGTGAAAGTGCAAACATATTTTTTTGTTCCTCTTATCGTCCACGCTGTCTCGAGCCCTTACAAAACATATTTTTCCGACGGCAGCGTCCGCGCAGTGGTACGTAATAAACGAAGCTGTTTCTCTTGGCTCCTTATTTTTGTTTTCGACGCTCAGGAATATTCTGAAAAGAAATTTCCACGTTCGACACAGCGCTCGGTTCTCCCTGGCTGCAAACCGCTGTTTTCAAACGAGCTTCATCATCGACAAGCTCGCACGATAACGTCTCACTCGCTACCTCTTTGAACCGCGTCGACGCAGGTCACGCAATATTGCGACTATGAATTAAGAATTGTTTTCCTTGCACCGTATATAATTAACCACGATTATCCACTGTTAATTAAGTCGCCAATTGTAAAGTTAGCTTATTATGCCAATTTTTCTCTTGGCTCGGTAAACAAAGTATAATAAGTCATCGACGACACGTACCCACAATGCAATTCTAACCTAAAACAATTCAAGCCGTTCGGGAACTGATTAATTGTAATGATAAATTACACTGTTGCCAACATTATGAAAAAAAATTACCAACCCACTACTTCAATCCATCAGGAAGAGAATAACGTCACCTGTCAATAATGTAAATTATCATATATACAAATTTTCAAAAGTTGTCACGAGGCCTATTAAAAAATGAAAAATAAAAGAGACAGAAACATCAAAATCTTGTAATTGATAAGAAAATAAAATACAATTTTGAAAAATTCATTATTACCTAACCACATAACCTGCCATTCTAATCAGCAGTCATCCCAACTTTTTCGACAAAAAGAATTTTTAGAATCAAAGTAAATAGAACGTTCGTCTTTCGATGTCCGAAACAATTGCCCAAAACAATCGTAGACTCTATACAGCTGAAAGTCTGACAGATTTTGACTTCCGGTTCTGTTCGAGTGAATATAAAAAAAAAAAATTGGTTAATAATATAATATATAAATTACATAAAAGAAATTTCTAACAAGAACTTCTACGTTATTGGTGGTTTAAGAGGAACGAGCGGAAGAGGTTTTGTATAGCGAGGTCAGAGGTCGAATCCGTTATCTTCTGGAGTCACTACAAAAACAGTCTCTGTCATCCGCAATGAACCGAGTGGATGCGCCACGTATCGATATTCGTAATGCGGTAGATTTTCAAAGATTTTCAATGAACTCTTTATACGCGAGCGGTACAGTAAGAATTGACTAAAAAAAAAGAAGACAAATCAGATATCAAAGTAGATTGAGAACCCCTTTCGAAAATATGTCCGATAAGAACGCGAAACGTATAAGAGTATAGGCAGGTAAGTGAAATAATGTCGTTACGCTAAAAGTCGCCGGAAAACAAGCCCGACCATTGTAGCAAAGGTTAGTCTAAGGTATAAGATCGTACAGTAGAGGTTAGGTGCTAGCTGCTATATACGAATAGGCAATAAACCTCATATACAAGAGTAAGGGTGTGCTCTGCCTATTCCCGATAAGACCTGAAAGAGAGAGAGGACAAAGTACCAGGTGCGCCGAGGATGACGACGACGAACGTCAAGGTAGCCCCGAGGCCGATCTAGTTAGCAAAAACACGTGAGGACCGAAAGCTATGTTGCAAAATTGAAAAGCAATAAAATAAAATCTATCCAAAAATACATATCTGCATTGCATTGTACTACGTAAAAAAAAGACTGAATAAAGATGGTCTATTTTGAAAAAAAAATAAAAATAATTAAAATTCAAACTACGCTACTCACTATACATATTGGTGCGTCGATAGATTTATACATGAGATCGATCCGTCCTCCGTTACAGAAAATTTTAAAATCCCCTTCCTGAAGGCGTGCCAGGTTGGCTGCAGTGAAAATTCGCTTTTTCTTCCATATGATTCATGCAGGCGACCGAATACGGTGACTGACAACGGAATGAGGTAAGATCAAAATATAGTCGATACCAATGTACAGTAAGAGATCAGAGACCGGTGAGTCAAGTATATAGATGTACAGTGAGAAGTAATACAGAAAAGAGAGTGTCCGTGGCAGTGGCATAGAGAGAGATATAAAAGGATAAAAAGACAATGAGAGCGAAAGAAGACGTAAGCGGCACGGTGTCTGCTCGACGCACTATAATCGCAAGATTAGGCTACTATGCCACTCTTAAATGCTGATAGAAAGCCATAATCGCGGTGGTGGCCGCATGCGGTATAAACGCTCGTACTACGAGCTATGATAGCTAAGAGTAGAAATAGTGATAGTGCAATCACGCAGTCCATTCATCCCGTTTTGAAGATAGGCTAATCTGCAGTAATTTTTCCCACTCCCGTGTCATCTCGTTTTCACCGTTAAACGTTAAACGACAACCGTACGACGAAAATATTTCAAAGAGAAGCACCGGCCCGATCTTCATTTTCTTACTAGCGTATACATATGCGATCAATAAAAAGTAACCTTAAAAATTGTCCAACACTGATTTAAAACAAGGCCACAACCCTGTACTTGGACGACGATTAAATAATGACACCGTCGTACCTTTTGTACGATCGACGTTTACTCGGTACTGATTTCAAAGAAGGTTCAAAGACGATTAAACAATGGAGCGTCGTACCTTTTACTTTGTGTAATTGTTCCAGGTTAGGTTTCCAGCGAAGAAAAAAAAAAGTGAGGTTAGACTGAGGCCAGTCTGCGTGCCGTCGTAAAATGTGCAAACACCCTCTCGAGCCTCCTTTACATCTGTTTACCAGCTCGTACTATCTCGACGTCTGGCTGTAGCGTCGCTGAGCTAATGCAAACACGAGTCGCGCGTATAAACCAACGTAACCTTAAAGCAACCCCCGAAGTAAAGGAAAAGAATAACTAGGCGACAGGGAGAGAAAAAATTCACGTTGGGCAATCGAAAGAACTGAACGCGTCGCAGTTGGGTATCGCAGGCCTGCCTGCCCCCCCGCCCCGCCCCGCCACGCCGGTAACCTTGAGCAAGGAAAACTTTAATCCGGGATTAGTGCGGGTAGCGTCTGAGACGTTAAAACTGAATACCCTTGAAACGTAAAATAAAATCGGACGACTTCGCGCGTTGGGCAGAGGAGTTAAGGAAAAAATGGTATTGCAGAGGTAAAATTTTGTATGGTGTAAATCTCGCGGGTTACTAGGTGGCCGATAGTCGTGATAATAGCGATAAGGTGATAACGAGACGGCACGCGACCACGATAATAATATACACACGATATACATTGTGGATGCATATAAAGACGTTAATACGTCAAATCTATGATAACTGCACGTATCCGCGAGATTGAGGTTATCTTTTATACGTCATAGTTAATTTTTAGCTTCCTTAGATGAATCTCTCGTTTGCCTATTGGGTTGTAAGAAAAAACTCTTTCGTCTAGGGAATTAATTGTCAATTCTTTCAGATACGTTTATAACGAATGAATTTCATGTAATTCCTACCACATTCCAGTCTCTTTAGGCCTTTGGCTCGTGTAACGTCACGATCTTGTTCCAGCTTTATAAGATAACGCATTCCTCTTTGCGTCCCATAGCGAGTACATAAAACAGACTTATTTCTACGTATCGAAGCAGAGGCACGACGACGCGTGCGAATTCCCTAACGGGCAGGAGGAATTGCTGAGAGAATTAAATGAAATTAAAAAAATAAATTCGATCCGTGATTCCGTAATATTTAATTTTATCAATTCCATCTATTCTTTTTTTTTCCTTTTTGAATTCTCGAGCTTGCAGTTACGGATCAGTTATGCTTACGTCACGACGCTCTTAAAATGTTGAACTTTACCACTTGTCGTCCTACGCTGAAAATACGTTGGGAATAAGTTACGTCATTATCTTCTATCTCCGTCTGTAAGAAGATTCAACGAGGTTAAGGGACGAAATAAATGTTTTCTTTTACAGATACCAATGGGGCATTACCCCTTGTCTATTTTAATACTAGAAATGGCAATTTTACTCGTTCTTAATTTTTTTCTCATTTTCCGTGCAATGTTTACCAGACATCTTTCTCGTCCGAGGAAAGAACAAAGGAACGGAGCACCGAGGGAAACGAACGACCAGTGGAAATTTTGTGACGCCAAGCGATTTTAGTCGTCGGAGGAATCAGAAGGATGAAACGATGAAACATGTATTGCTTGGCAACGTTGACCCGGCGCGAACTTTGAACTGTCTTTTATTCCCCTCCGGCGATTTACACTTGACTGATCATGGCTTAAGAGTCATGCAGATAAATATATGTATAACGAATATTATATCAGATATCTAGTAATATATGACATTTGAATATATAATTTTTTTTTTTCCAATGTATATCATAATTACTTTTTTATATAATAAATTTACTTTTTTTTTTTCTTTTTCCATACGTTTATTACAATTCTCAAGCTACTCTCGTAATAACTCTTGCGTTTAATAACACTGTGCGTGGATTTAATTAAATGATTAGTTAAATCTGTTGCGGCGGCCTTGTTTTTCTGAATACAATCCAGGTGGCGTATATCGTGCTGCATTGAAACGAGCTGTGATCGTAAAAAGATATTTAGTACCGTGTAGTTACTATTTGCCACTATACCTTTTAACCACATGTGAACTAGGTTTTATATGTCGTTTGCTTCCTCATAGAGGATGCTGTTTTATTTTATTTTTATAACACATTACAAAGAGCGATTTAAGATCGGTCAGTATAGAACATAGTGACATGACGGTTCGGGAGGTCAGGTTAAAATCGAAAATTCAGGAAATTCATTCGGACATTTTTTTAACCAAAATTTTATACCTAACAGGGTGCTTCAAGTTAAGAAGGCACTTTCCCTGAGACGGACGAATTTACGTCCCGAGTCCTTTCGCTGGTTACTTAGATTAGACGACAAGGATATTACCACGGAGATAAGGATCGCCATAAAGTCTACGGTGTAGGTAAAATAGGTTTTTTTTTTGGAAAAAAAAAAAGCATAACGAAGATTTCAAATAATTTTTTACTGCCTGTCACGTATATTCACGCCGAGCATTTTAATAGGTGAATGTGTAAGAGCGAATGATAAGAACGTATGATAAGAATGATCGAGTTTTCGAAAAAATGTCCTTGTACCCTACAACTCGATCTACGAGGATCTAACCTATGACCTTTACGGCTGTGACCCTTCAACTGGCTCTTCGCCAAGAGCCGACTGGTTACGTCGTGGATAAAAGTCTCGTCTTCCGTTCTTTGAAATATTCTGACGTTTCTTGTAGAACGTCAGACCGCGTAATCACGACCATATGTCATAATTAGCAATGAGGTTAGGTTAGGTTGGGTAGAATATTTTTTCGTAATACCTTAAAATACATACCAAATTATTCTCTTCTGACCCTCGCTACTTTACCGACTGCGCCTACGTAAAGCTTAATAAATATTTTTTAAAAGTGACCGTTGAGTCCGAATAAGTCAAGTGGACGTCTAGACGATTTCCAATATTAAAGAGCTACTTGGTAATAATAGCCGGAACCGTACGGATCGTTAAATCTAGTGAAAGACATCGAAATAAACGATCTCAGATAAAACAAACGATATTTCGATCGTCGGATACTTCGAGGCGATTGGTTTATGGTTCGAAAATAAGAGGCTAGTGGCTTAAAGGGAGAGCAAGAGAGAAAAAGGATAGGATCAAAGTGTATACGTTTTGACTCTGGTAGATTTCGGAGTCTGAACGAAGGGTCACTAACCCCCCCGCCCCTCCACCCAATTTATCACCGTGACTCCCCCATCATTTTCGTGTTCCCTTTTTTAATTTTTTTCAATGCCTTCAAATTACTATAAACAAACCACTAACCCTACCGACTCGTTAAACTACCCTTGGAAACTAGATGGTCGGAGTGGCGTTGATTCAAAAAAAAAAATTCCCTATACGAATATCGAACAATGATTCTTTTCTGATCGACATAAAAAAAAAAATATCACTAGTCGTAAACACCTCGTATAAGAAAAAAATACTCATCCCAATATACAAGTACAATAAGTCTCATTGATTAGGTGGCACTTGAAAAATAATTTTGAAAATCCACTCGAGTCAGGTCGTCGTTGAATGGTGGAACATTTAAAAAAAAAAAAATTTCTCTTTCGCCTAAATTTTTTTTTTACTGTTTACCAACATGAAGACGCAAGAGCATACGAAAAAAAAATTTTCTTTTATATGGTTCACACGTCGCGGGGACCCGTGACATTCTCATAGGGGAGTAAATTTGAAATACCGAATAAAGTAGTAGGGCTGCTTAGGGGGTTAGAAGCGCGAGTGCAGAGACAATGGTTGACTAAAAAAAAAAAATGAGAGAAAAAGGGGAAAAAAAAAGAAGACAAGTATATCCCCATAAACCATTGCACCGGAAACGGACCGTAGGACCTTTTCAGGGGAGAGGGAGGGGGGAGTAGCCTTATATTATATTTGCCATTTCCCTTGGCTCGTGGACGTTTTTGAATTTCCCGTTTGTTTGCCATCTCTCGCCTTCGCCTTCCTTTTACTTTCGTGACGAAAGACGACTGAAGAAGAAAAAAAAGGGAAAAGGGATGGATGAACACGCGGTCTTTTTGATCGTTCGCTGTTTCTTTTTTTTTTTTTTCTATTTACCCACGTCTCTCCCCTCGCAGGGTGAAAAGGAGGAGGGAGGATATTTCGCGGCAAAATCTCTGTGGGTTTTCCAAATTTTTTTGTTTTCCTCCGCTTCCC